GTAACAATATAATATAAAATGTCAGAGAGAATTGTTGGACAACTTGTGAAAAAGTGGATGTGACAGGTGGGTGTGGCAAGTTTATCTGATTTTCTAGTTTATGGCTCCATAAATAAATAAGATTGAAGGCTATAAAAATTATGCTTCACCTTAGTAATATCAATATTATAATAAGAATTTACATTAAATTTCATACTTTTCAAAGAGGTGGTAAATAATTTAGAGAAGAAGGAAAATCTAGAGAGCAAGTGTCACAGTTCTCATACTAAGAGAGATTGAGGATTTCATTATTTCCTTATAAAATTAAAAAGTTAAAATTCATATTATATTCCAACAAGGCACCTTACTTCTGGTCATGTAGATAGGTATTCTTGTTCAGTGCTGCCCTCTGTTTCCAAACATTTTTTTTCTCTTGCCACAAGCCTCTCACTCCCACACACCCCTCGATTCACATGATTTAATTGATACTCACATGCAAATTATCATGCAACAAACATCCACCAATGGCAGCGCCATACACCCACGTGACTCCCTCTATGCTATTCTACCTTTCACTTCTTGTTTGGCAGTGCTCATGCCCTGACATTTAGTTTGTGCTCTCTTCAGGTGTTTTTTTTTCTTCGTATCTTTGTATCAATTTCTCTCACCACATTTGCTATTTATTATACAATAGTGATATTAGTAACTTATTCCAAATTGGAATTATTTTACATTTCTACCCATTTACAGAAGTTAATGCTTCATTAAAAATGTTTTCCTACTTTTTATTTCTTTTTGCCAACACAATTGTGTTTGATTGTTCATTTTGAACATGAATTCCGAATCCAAGTTACCACTTCGGAGGTTATATCTTCTACCAGCAAAAATACACAGGCTTCAGGTGGCAATCCTCAACTGAGGAATTATTGGCTTTACTTCTTCAAGAGATTACTCATCCAATGAGGTGACCTTTGTCGAGCCTTGACTCAAGTTTGGGCCTACACATTTTAATATACAGTCAACTGACTTTAGAAAGATAAGGCGTTATACTGTTATGGTTTTTGAACCTTTTTATTGTTAATATTATTATCTTTAGTTATTTGGGTTCAATAACATCAGTTTAGTTAGATTGGTCAATTCTCATAGTTATGTTCAGGTTTGAAATTAGAGCTTAATTGTATCCTTTGTCCTATACTGTTAGAATAGGCTTAACATGGGTCTTTATTACTTTAGGACTACCTGTAATTCATCTTACTAGTATAACTGAAATTAGGTTAACTATATTCTTTTTTCTTCAAAACATCACATATCATACATATGTTATTGTCAATACATAGTTACTTAATCTTACAATATAACATCTATTTCATTTTTGTTATTATTTATCTCTTGTACTTCTTCTTATTACCTTTGTTTGTGTGGATGTCTGGAGCCAGGGTCCACACAAACTTCTCCTGATATTGTACGTTTTATTATTAGATTAGGGTTTTTAAATTAGAGCTTAGCAATATACTTTGTCCTACAAAGTTTGATTAGTGTTTGTTATTTTCACCTTCCCATTCTTTACCTGTCCTACCTACGGGTCTATCCAATCATCATGTATGCTCAATGCTGATTGAAGTTATGGATCTATCGGTCCCATCTCAATCATTTCTTGGTTCTTCCCCATTTTTAATATGTTGTCTTTGATCACAATCGGGTGGGCAATTTCTGCAGGACTGAGAATGCACACAGTACACATTCATATTTTTCATTTCTTGGGATGCTATTTTAGGTTGTTTCACCATGTGAATCAGTATCAGTTTCCTGCCTTTCCCTTCAGACTTGTTTCGAATTGATAGGTCTTTTACCTATCTTTACCCAACTTTAAAATTTTGGGGGATTTTACTAACACCACTTCTTGGACATCTGGCTTCTTTTGAACATACTCCTCTGTTTCTTACACAAGCAGCTTGTGTGGTTGGATTTCCAGTTGGATAAGTTTTTCTTGTTACCTATCTAACAATCTCTCCACAACACCCACCTCAGTCTGGACCATCTATCCTCCTTCTCAGGATGCATTCAATAGAGCTTTCTGTTATCCACACCATTATGGTTCACTAACTTACTGCTAGTGAGGTTCTAATGCATTGGGGGATGTGGCTTCTATGGAAACACTTCTCCCTTTGGGTCTGGCACATTTGCAATATTTTCAGGAGATGCTGCATGACCCATGGTCTCTTGCTACGGTTCCTTTTGAATTCTCCTCTTAACTTTCCTCCTTCACTCTTCAACTAGATGCTTTGATGGTTGAACATATCCCTCATGTTGTCAGGTTTACAATGTTGTCCTCCCCCTTTTCTGGATTTGTTTCTCTTCCCTAATGATCATCTTCTAAGTTAGAGGGAGTGAGTCAATCAGCAGGAGGCTTCAGGACAATGGTCTACTGATGAAAGGTCTTACCATGTTAACACCCTGGCAGTTCAACGTGCTTTATTTCACTTTTTTCCTCATGTCCAGATTTGACTACTCACATTTCATTCCAACTATGTGGTCTGTTGCACCCAAGCCACTCTACACCTTGGGTCACACACCTTATTTTACCCACATTCTATTCATTAGGGAGATTGCAATTATAATATATTGTAGTTAGGATCATTGTCCAACCATTTTCTCTCCCACTGAAATGTGCTCCTCACAATTTTCCACCTGGATCTGCCACATCTTTTTAACATTTAGACAAAGTGTATACCTGGTACAGAAGTGGTGCATTCTCCCATGTTATTTATTTGAGGGTCCCCTCATCAGGGTGTCCTTCAGATGCTTTCAAAGGATGCATCTACTTTCTCCCTTGCACCATCCCTCCACCTATTCCATGTGGGATTCTAGCTATGTATGCGAATGTAAGTAAGATACCATGTCGGAAGTTATAATTTTCCTGCACTGAAAATGTGTTTCTGCTCACACATCCCACCCTTCCTCCCCACTGTCAATCGGTGGTTACATTTCTGTCTAAACTCGAAGTGATAGTTAGGTAGAATAGCATAGAGGGAGTCACATGGGTGTGTGACACTAGTATTGGTGTAGATTTGTCACATGATAATTTGCATGTGAGAATCAGTTAAACTATGCGAATCAAAGGGTGCATGGGAGTGAAAGACTTGTGACATATGAAAAAATATTTGCAAATAGAGAGTACCACTGAATGAGAATAGCTATGTATGTGAGCAGAAGTATGTACCTGTTGCAAATACATTTTCAGTGTAGGAAAATTATAACATTGGATTTATGAACTATGTTTTGATGTCAAGTTTATTTGTTTACATTGATAATAAAATTTTGAATGTAATATGGTAAAAGGTTGTGACATGTGCACTTTGACTTACCTGACATGAAACGGTTAAGGCTTTAGGGTTTTGTTGAATTAATGTGTTTTTGAAATTAAAAACATCTTTAAAAAAGAAACTTGCAGATGTTATGTGTGGTGTGAGAGCCCAGGCTATGTATCTCCTGAGATTATTGTTAAACAAGTCATAAGTGGATAGTATAGGTCATGTGGGACATTGTTTCTGTGGTATTGGAACAACGTTAAAATGTTTCATGTTGCATATAAAATAGCATTTTGGATTGACTATTGTCTGAAATCATGAGCAGCCTACAAAATAAGGTTTAGTTTTGAGCAGAAAGTTTTCTAACCAACAATGTGTATGATAGACAGAAGAGAAATTTAAATGCTACTTTGACTTGCTTCTGACGTGAAACCCATAATGGACTAATTAAGAGAAATGTTAGAGGAAATAAAACTGCAGTTTAATGTGATTTTCATCACAAATCTTAAGCATATTGTTGTTATTATTTTACTAGATTTTGGCATGTAATGGTACAACATTTTATGAAAATAATTGTTTACTATTTCCATTCATCTGTTTTGAAAATTGTGTTGACGTTATTAACTGAACTTGCATTGAACTGACCCTGTATTGGAAAAATAATGTTAACTATAATTCTGATCTTACAAAGTGCTTCTTCACAAAATGTGGCAAGCTTTTAGGGAACAATACAGATTTGTTGTATGCAAAAATCAGATGTGTTACTATGGTTTATATACTAAAAATTTATCCTATGAAATGCTGATGCCAGTCTGACTCTGACAAGTTGAACTGCAAGGTGATGTTAATTTGAAGAATAAAAACGCTTTTGTCAGTTGTACAGTTTGCAAATGGATATCTAAAATTTTTTTCAGTATCTGGTATTTTTTTATTCTAACATAAACTGTTATGAAATCAGCAATATTGGGTAACATGAAATGCTGATAACTGAAATAAAATTTATAATACCGTGTTAAATGTCACTCTATTGAACGTTGGGGCATATATACTTTGACATCCACCAGTGTACATCAAGATTTCCTTAAACTTACTGCCAATAGCAGCTCATTTCATAAGCTAATCCTTCTATTGGAAAAATAAAACTGTCTTAACTGGAGTATAGTCTTACTTCTTCAAATCTTAAACTTGTGTCTTCTCATCCTTGTCTCTTCAGAAGTCAGAGGGTTTTATCATATCAATCTCACAGATAATGTTGTAAATTTCATTGTGATCATCTAGATAAAATTATGTATGTAACATCCTCAAAAAAAAGGATAACAGATTAGAAAGGGAAGATTTTAATTAGGTGAATCTATGTTAGCCAGCTTTTTGACATCAACTTTTGCATCCATACCTCAACAATAAATCATGAAGTAGCATCCCCCCTGACCATTTGTTATAAAAAACTATCCTGAATCACTTCAACAAGTCTGTGTTTTTCACTGTTTGACTACATCTAATCTCAATCATTGTAACCACGGTTAAAGTCTCCTGTAACTTTAATGTAAAACTAATAAATGCCTAGACATATTCTTCTTCATAAGGTCATTTATTGTTTTTATGTTCTTAGCATCGACGACTAGACATCATTGTTGCTCCAAAAAGTGAATTTGCCTGTGCCTTGTTGTATTTTACTGGATCTGCACACTTTAATCGTTCAATGCGCTTGCTAGCTCGAAGAAAAGGAATGGCTTTGTCTGAAAGCTCACTAAGAGAAGGAGTAATTAGAAAGGTTAGTTAAATATATTCACATGTATTGTAATATGAAAAGTGTTTTAGCTATATTCCTCAGAAGTTTTACTCAGTTGTATTCACTTGGAACAAAGGCAAGTCAGGGGTATCATCTGAGTAGTTAGATTTCAAAAGGTAAAATAGGAACAATATTTAAGTAAAAGGTAGGGTAAGAAGAAAGGTGAAACAAGTGTATTCAGATTAAGACTGATAAGGAAAATACTGTAGAATCCTAAGTTAATGTAAGGGTAAGCAGAAAGGTGAAACAAGTGTATTCAGATTAAGACTGATAAGGAAAATACTGTAGAATCCTAAGTTAATGTAAGGGTAAGCAGAAAGGTGAAACAAGTGTATTCAGATTAAGACTGATAAGGAAAATACTGTAGAATCCTAAGTTAATGTAAGGGTAAGCAGAAAGGTGAAACAAGTTACTCATATTTAATTCTCACTAGATGTTTTATAAGTGTTTGGCCATTGTAGCTGATTTCAGTTATTTTTATGTTAATAGGGTCAAGAACACATAATGGAAGGATACCCATTACCAACCCTCACTGAAGAATCCATCTTTGATTATTTAGGGCTAGAATATAGAGCTCCAGAAGAGAGAGACCATTAAATAATTTGAGTGTATACATGTTGATTTTATTTTGCTTTAAAAGATTATATTAATTATCCCCCCTCTTTCTTTTTTTTTATGTGACCCTTCTTTTTGGTTGGTGTAAATTGTTATGAACTTCAGAGCCTATCAACTATTGAAATTCTAATAATTAATAAACTTTAATAAAAATTTTATGATCAATTAGAAGTTTTTGAAAATACAGGCATATTTGGTAAACTTGATAAACCCTAGTTTTGATAGTGCTTTTATTTTAGGATTATAAAATATACAATTAATAGGGAAGTGTATACTTATATTAAAAGAATGAATTCTGTTAGAACCTGTTGCATATGGTTGTTTAACAATTTGGCAATAATTAAATTATATATATATAGTTATGCATCTTCACTGTATGAAATAAACTTAATTTACACCTGAATGATGTAAATGTGCTATGGATTTATTTTGCCATGTTAAAAAAGCAACATAAAAACCTGTATTTTAAGTGCCCAGATTTACCACATTATTCCTATATTTCTTCCATCTTTGTTTAATTTTTTTTTAGTTGGATGAGAATACATTATGAAAAAAAAAGATGCAAAACTTGTAAACAGATGAATAACAATTGTTTGAACAAACTGATATTTCTAATTATTCTGCAGTGTGAGAAAATAAATCAAATAGTGTAATCATAGGTCATGTTTTGTCTTAATTAACATAACTGTGAGAGCAAATCTTTGGTAACATTATTATAACAATTCATAAAGGGCTGATATTAGGTTAGATGTATGTTTAATTTGGTTCTGTTACTCAGCCCAGGTGTGGCTAGTGAGCCTAAACTGTGAATTTGGGGATCCATGGTTTGAGTTTCATTGACGCACTTTTGAGCCGTGTGTGTGTGTGATGTGTAAATGATCATTTGTTTAGTTTGTGGAAAAATTCTGAAACAAACTGATATTCAACTGTGAATTGACCACTTTCAACAAAATATATTCATTGAAATTGTTAATAATTTATTCCTATATTTGTTGTCAATTGTGATGTTTCTTTATAACTTGCCAACAAAACAGCCTTATAAATCCTTATATTTAATACTATTTTTCTCAAAAATGCACCTCAAGAATTGCCACTGCATGGTCTCTTTACATAAGAACACTCCATAACTCTTGTAGTTTGGTCTTCGTGTTTATATGAAATATAATTTCTGTAGTTTTAAAATATCCACAAAAGCATCACAATATGCAAATTATTGATTATAGTACTTTATCCTTGCCTTTAATATACTAAAAATTTAATTATTTTAAAATTGAAAGAGAAAAAACACATAGACACAAATGATTAAGTGTATCAGATATTTAAAAGTTTGTCAAAGTGTTTAATCTCTAAATACAAAGTGCATTATTGTCGCACAGCAGTGCCATTTGTTTCTGTACCAGACGTTGTTAAAAAATAATTTAGGTTTTCATATTTTAAGTTTTTCAAGCAGGTACATGAGGTTGTATAGTTAGTTAAAGTTAAATTATTTTTGTGCTTGTATGAGGCCAGTGCTTTCAAACTGCAGTTCCAATGGTATGAGCATATGAGAATGGTAACCCATCGCAGGTCAACCTCCAACTACCAGCTGTACATATGGGTAGACTGTGGAGTAAAATGTCTTACTCAACCATACAACAAAATGACACAGGCCAATGTTGAACTTGCAATCATTTAACTATGACACTAAAGTGCGAAGCCACCAAGACACACTGCTGCAATAGGTACATAGGAATGATTAATTTTTTTTCAAAAATCAATGGCCTGTATTGTGTGGTGGTGTCATTAAAATGCCAAAAGAGAGAACTATCACATTCTGACATGGTCAAGTCTTTTAATCATGCTGGTTGGAGTGTAAGACAAATTTCAAAAACTTTGGTCATTCACCAAATACTGTGAAGTACAATTGGACATATACAAGGGAATTCATTCTTATAACGTCAGATAAGGCAGGGTAATGAGAAAAAATCTCACTGAAAGAAATGTTAGATATCTGAAAATCAATTTCATGAACAACTGAAAGAACACTGCAATAAACCTTGATGACATTAACACGTCATGCATTAATAAAAAAGTTTCAAAAAGTACAATCTCAAGAATGCTGCAAAAATTTGGTGTTTGTAAAGAATGGCACCAAGAAAGCCCATACTTCATAAAGTATTTTATAAATACTCCAGCTTTTGTGGAAGAACATGTATCCTGCTCTTTGGAACAGTGGCATAGGGTGCTTTGGACAGGGTCAGATGGTTAGGGTACTCGACTCACAATCTGAGGGTCACGGGTTCGAATCCCCGTCCCTCCAAACATGCTCACCCTTTCAGCCGTGGGGCATTATAATGTGACGGTCAATCCCACTATCAGTTAGTAAAAGAGTTGGCGGTGGGACTAGCTGCCTTCCCTCTAGTCTTACACTGCTAAATTAGGGATGGCTAGTGCAGATAGCCCTCCTGTAGCTTTGAGCGAGATTCAAAACAAACAAGCTTTGGACAGATGAGTTTAAAATTGAACATGGTGGTTCTAATCACCTTGTATATGTCTGCCAGAGTCAATGAGAAGTTGCAAGAAGAGTGTCTTGTGACAACAGTCAGATATGCAGAAGGCTGTATGGTGTCCAATATCTGCAAATAATGTTGGCCATCTTTACAAAATTTATGGAATCATGGATCAGCATAAATGCCACAGTTTATTAGTCCATCATGTTATACCCTCTGAAAAGAAGCTGATTGGGCAGAATTTCATAATATTTAAGAAGATAATGACCCCAAAGGAACGTCCAAAAAATGTTGAGCTTTGGCAACGAAAGAAGGCTCAGATCTCCAGTATATGGAGTGGTCACTGGAGCTGAGCGAGTAGTGGTACTTGCTTAATTGATTGCTACACCGCGCCCTCTACAACCTGCACAAACAAAAAAAAAAAAGAAAGACAAAACGGGTATGTGCTTACGGTCTAAACAATTGACCTATTCTGTAAATGGCCATTTGTGTATTTGCTCAAAGCACATTTTTGGTCAAGAAAAGACTTTTACTCTCAAGTTGTATGGACATTTCTCACATGGCAGATGAATCGTTAATATCCACTAAGTACCAC